GCAGACCCATCAGCGCAGGCATCCATTGACCATCACCATACCTGATCTTCTCAGAAGAAAAGTCCAAAGCTATGCCAAGTTGTTGTATGATTGGCCGGCCACACAACATAGGCGTTTCACCAGGGACCATGAAAACCTGGGCAAAACCGTAGAGGCCATTCACAAACATTGGCATTCTGGCGACCCACTTGGCTACGCTTTCAGCATCTCCACCAAAATGAAATTTCCGGTCACAACGGTAAAACAAAATGGTTTCCACAGGGTAGCCAAGTTGTTGCAGGTGTTTGAGGTACCTGCCCATGGGTCCATATCCACAAAGGAAAGCTGAGGCACCAGGGTCAAGCATCGCAACATCGGTGCGCTCATGCCCATGTTTGTCCATGAAGGTCACCAGGGCTCCCTCGGCATGCTTTGCCATCGACTCAGTGGCAGGAGTCGGTCTCTTGTTGGGGCTGCTCTTCTGGTTGTTGACAGGGCAGTTTGCGGCAAAATGCCCTTTCTGGCCACATCGAAGGCATTGCAGGGCAGCTTGGGCTCGTTGTTGTGGTTGTGCCGGTTTCATAGGCGCCTTGTCGTACTTGTACATGTTGGGCTTACCACCTTTCGATTTTCCCTTGCCCTTCTTGCCCTTGGGCGATCCACCACCAGAACTCCTTGAAGGCGAGGACGTGCCAGGCTGCAAGTTGGAGTCCTGAAGGGCAACGATGGGCAAGTAGCCACGGCTCAACTTCAGGTCATTGAACCTTTTCCTTGCATCCAGGTAGGCTGCATAGGCATCATCCCATGAAGCCACATCGAAGGTCGACGTAGTGCCATCCTCAGGAATGGTTGATTCAGCTTCCCAGTCACCAGTCTGGTAGTAGGCGGCGTCATCATCGAAGCCTTGTTCATCGAAGCTGGCATTGTCATCCCATTCCCAGTAGGCATCATAGTAGGACTGTGAGTCCCAATCCCAATCATCAGCGTCACCATCATCGTCCAGCTCATCACCAAAGTAGGCTCGACCACCTTTCCCACGGTGCCATCGGCGGTCATGTCCAGCAGGGGCAGCTCCAAGCTTGTAGTCCTGACCCAAAATCAGGTACATAGCTTCTACAACTTTTGTCAGCTCGAGTTGCGGTGCCCTCAAATTGACAAGTTGCCGTTGTTCTTTGGTGAGGCCACTTTTTCGAAGTAGGTGCCATCCTTGTACTGCCGTCGGAAGGCTGACACCATGCTTCTCCAGTTTCTTGTGCAGCTCCGCATGGTCGCTGACATAGGCCAACAGCGTCTGACCAGGCTTTCTCTGAAGTCCAAAGTAGCCATCGAAGTCGCTGGGCAACTGCACTCTGGTGTCATACCCAAAGTGACCATCTAAGAGCTTGATGATGCTCTCGAAGGCAGATTCCTTTTCACATTCATCCAAATTAAAATCTTCCACAAGTCTCCATGCCGAACCTTGAAGACTGCCGATGATGTTCAGCACGGCTTCTCCATTCCTTTTCGTCAATCCCATCTTCCTGTAGTAGATGTGGATCCTTTTCCGCCACTCCTTGTAGTCGGCAGGTTGGCCCGAAAACAAGGGGATGAAACTGTCACGGGTGGTAGCATCAGCTGAGGTTTCCTGCTTAGCAGATCCAGAAGCCATACTCCACAACGTCCAAGGTGAACTCCAAAAAAAGGTGAGCTGGTCTATGCCCTTAGGGTTGATCAAACAGTAGAGCTCGACCAGGAGTTCTTTCTGAAGCGCTCCACAGCCAGGACCCAGTAGAGCTAGAAGTCCAAGAACCAAAGCTCCAAGGATCAAGCAGCGCTCCGCTACCAATGTGAGATTGGTGCGGTTCAACCAAGTCTCCAGCTGCAGCACACGAAGTCCACAGCCACAAAAGGCAAAGGACGCCACTTTTCCAAATGGCGCACAGCGTAGCCGTCAGGCAGCTAAGTTTCCCACCCTATGTGGGTCGAGGGGCAAATTGGGCCAGTGTGGCCACGAAAACACCTTAGTGAGGTGAAAAAGGTACCTGGCAAGTGCAAATGGTGCTATGGCAAAGGTTGCATGGAGTGCAAACTAACACAAAGGAATATTTTTCCTCAAAAAATGTGAAAAAATGTAAAACAAAAAAGCAACCAGAAAAAAAAAAAGCAAAAAAAAAGCAAAAAAACAAAAGCAAAGGCAAAAGGAACACATAAAAAGCAAAACTTCAAATCTCAATCTGTATTTGGTTGCAAAAGCAAATACCTGACCTCATGCAAACAAATATTCAAATTACCAGCAGCAAGCAAGAAGAACATGGAGCAAAAACTTATTCCTTCTATTCTAACAATGATAATGATGTGATTAAAAATAAAAGGGTTTAACTTGGAGTGACCCCCCCACTAACAGTGGAATAATGGATTTTAATTGTAACTTCCCAGCCAAGATTGCACAACAACCCGGGGACCAAAACCACAAACAATCTGAGAGGCCCAATCTTCTCAATCCAAATTGGAGCTTGCAGAGATTGTGTTGGATAAAGTCCCTCCTTTTGGGCAAAGGGAAAGGCAGCAGTGCAGGGACGAGTTTGCTAAGGGACAAGTTTTGCTAAGGGTCAAATTTTGCTCAGCGACAAATTTTGCTAAGGGACCAATTTTGCTAAGGGACAAGTTTTGCTAAGGGACAAATTTTGCTAAAGGGACAAGTTTTGCTAAGGGACAAATTTTGCTAAGGGACAAATTTTGCTAAAGGGAAAATTGTGCTAAGGGACAAATTTGCTAAGGGACAAATTTGGCTAATGGACAAATGTTGCTAAGGGGCAAATTTTCCCTTTAGCAAAATTGTGCTAAGGGGCAAATTTTGCTAAGGGACGAGTTTTGCTAAGGGACAAATTTTGCTAAAGGAGCTAAGGGACAAAATTTTCAGTGACAAGTTTTGCTAAGGGACAAATTTTGCTAAGGGACAAATGTTGCTAAAGGGAAAATTTTGATAATGGACAAATTTTGCTAAGGGATAAATTTTGCTACGGGACAAATTTTAATCAGGGACAAGTTTTGCTAAGGGACAAATTTTGCTAAGGGACGAGTTTTGCTAAGGGACAAATGTTGCTAAAGGGAAAATTTTGATAATGGACAAATTTTGCTAAGGGATAAATTTTGCTAAGGGACAAGTTTTGCTAAGGGACAAATTTTGCTAAGGGACAAGTTTTGCTAAGGGACAAATTTTTCTAAAGGAAAAATTTTGCTAAGGGACAAATGTTGCTAAGGGGCAAGTGTTGCTAAGGGACAAATTTTGCCTTGGAGACGGTTCAGTGGTGAGCTGCCTTTTTTTTCTTTTTTTATTGTTTTTTGTTTTTGCTGCTCTGGTTAGGTCGCAGTTTTTTCGCAGTTTTTTCGCATTTTTTTCGCATTTTTTGCATTGTGTTGCATTTTTATTTTGTGATTTGCTTTCTTTGCATTTTTTCCATTTTTTTTTGTGATTTGCATTTTTTTTGTATTTTTTTATTTTTTTCGATTTTTTTGCATTTTTTTTTGCATTTTTTGTTGTTTTTGTTTGTTTTTTTTTGCATTTTTTTTGCAGCTCAAAATGTTGCCATGGGATGACTCCTCTTCGATGAGGTAGTCACACATCTCTGCCTGCCTGTCACGCGGAGTTTTGGCAACCAGCAATCGATCAGCTGGAGCTTACGTTCCTTCCTTGAGGTCTCTGTTCAAAAAAAATTGCTTACCCAGCTACGTGCTAGCTAGCAGCTAGCAGCTAGCACAGTTAACACTTCTCACCAAACAGTCCCTCAAAAAAAAAGTCAAACATCCCAGTCGTAGCAGCAGCACGGTTCAAACTTGTTCATTCTAGCTGTGGTTTGTTGAGTTTATAAACGATGCACTAAAAACAAATAGACAATCTCAAATTGTGGATGCGGTTCAAATTTTAAAAAGCAAATAAAAATGCTTTGTATTTGTGGTTGTAGTTATAGTTAGTTAGTAGTTGTAATTCTAGTTGTTGTAGGGGTAGTGGTAGTGGACGGTGGTTGAAGTTGCAGTCACAATTGCAGCAATTGCAGTTGTAGTTGCATCTGTAGTTTCTAGTTGTAGGTCTTGTATCTTGCAGGTGTAGTTGTAATGTAATGTAGTCAGGTTGTAGATTGCAGTTGTGGTTGTATAGTGTGTACTTGTAGGTTAAGTTGAAGTTGTAATTTTCTTGTAGCGGCGTTGTGGAGTACAGTTGTAGTTGTAGTAGTGGTTGTTGTAGTACTGATCATTGTAACTTTGTGTAATGTTTTCGGTTTTCCCAAATCAAGCAATTCTGCAAGACTTCCTCAATTTGGGAAGTTGACAACATCAAAACAAAAATTCAAAGATGCCACAAAGCGACAAAGCAATTTTGTGAGGCCAGGCTTCTTTCAAAACTGAAATGTTCTGTATACCATATGCTACATACTTTATAGTATGCTATATCTGATATCTGTATTTCAATACTATATCCGTATATCTGATATGTCCAATTTGATATTGCAGATTTCAAATCCAGCTAGTGACTTTATGTTTTGTCTACTTATTATGATTATGATTGTCTACTTATTCAGAAGGGATTGCAATTATAACTATAGTAATTGTAGTAGTACTTTACTAATTTTAAATCTGATCTAATTTTTGTTTTTCTGTTTTGTTTTGGTGCTATTTGTTTTTGCTTTTTTTTGCTTTTGTGCTGCCTTTTTTTTGCTTTTGTTTTGCTTTTTGCTTTTTTTTGCTGTTTTTTGCATTTTGATTTGTTTTTTTTTTCGGTTGCTTTTTTGTTTTACATGTTTTCACATTCTTTTCACAAATAAATTGATTTTCAAGTTTATAGGATTCTGGCTATCTGGTGAACATAATTGCAGCTTTTCTTTTACGAAATTTGAGCCATGCCCGAATCTACCCACACAACTGGGGACTTTTTGATATTTCATTTCCCTTCATTTGCAGCAGGCATTGCATTGCAAAGCTGACTACCAGAGTATCACATCAAATCAGCATGCGACCAGTCAGGGCATCAAAACTGGGCAGCCCACCATCCACAAGAGCTGTGACTTTGGATAGAGCTGTCGGCTTGTCGCTGCCAACTCCTTCCTGCAGCCACTTCTGAGTCATTTTCGGGAAGTTCTTCTCCCCTGTCTTCTCCTGGCAAGGAACTGACTTGTTTGGAAGATATTTCTGTTTTATGATGTTTGACTGCAGAAGTACTACGCCCAACGGGCTAAAGCAACTGCACAGCATGCCACCAGCACCAGTCGGGTCCTTGAAGTAGCTACACTCTTGCACAACCATGACCTTCAACAACTCCAGCTCCAGGGACATGCTGCAAGCGCTGGAATCTCCCAAATATGGAGCTGCTAGGGTCATCTCTGCCTTCTCAGATTCGAGCATGCTGGTCACACAAATCTCCAGGGTCCTGGCACAAGCATGTGTATAGCAATTTCGACCACAATTCACGGTACCGCTAACAATCTCACGCCAACATTCCATTAAAAAAAAAACTCAACCCAAAAAAAATATTGGATCTCCAGCTCCTTGCAGGCAACTCCAGAATCTTCAGGTCCGATACCTGACCCTCCAATGTGCCAAGCTCTTGCTGCCCATCCTCCATGGCCACCATGGCCTTCAAAACCACGGTGCTGCCACTTCCGGGCTTGGGCCCTGAGCCCGCGCGGCGCAGGCTTTTGAGGACGCCGCCATCGGCGGTCAGGGCTGAGGCGCCTGGGGGCTTCCACCACAGCAAGGTCACCTGGAAGGTCAAGGCACAGTGCGGAGGAATCTTACCCGGCACGCCTCAGACGGACTGAAAATCTGAAAAGGAGACCAACATCTGATGCATCTCTTGAATTCAAAATATGCCCAGGAATTCTGGTCGTGGTGGCGCCTCTGTTTGAGCCAAGCAACCCTCGGCACCATATGCAAACTCTGGGCTCAAATCCAGCATCGCAACCTCGCCCTTGCGCATGGTGGCCACACCTGTGAAACCGTTCTCGCAGCACCAGGGGTTTGTTGAATAAGGGGATGGAAAGCTTCCCGGGTTGCCCCTCCCCCATCTCCTGGCCTAGGTCCATACCTTGATTCACCTCCTGGGCCCCCATGGTGAAGTGGAACTCCTCCAGTCGGTGAAACTCCACGTCCTCTGCCTGCGCCTTGATCCATCCGATGAAGGTCACGTGAACTTCATCCCCACCTGGGTATGGCTAGGCTTAAACGCGATCATGTCTTTTTACAGGGGAAACTGCTGGAAAACTGGTTGGATCCACATTTAATTTTGACAGATGCCCGTTGAAATGGGGGACCCCAGAGACTTAGATGGCAAGAGAACAGACGCAGTGAATTCGGGGTGTCCCACCCACCCACCCATCCATCCACCCCCCCACCCATCCATCCACCCACCCACCCATCCATCCATCTACCCACCCACCCACCCATCCACCACCCACCCACCCACCCACCCATCCATCCATCCAGCCACCCACCCATCCATCCATCCATCCATCGCTCTCTCTCTCTCTCTCTACCCAAGGTTAATTAATAGATTTAAGACTTAAGACTTAAGATATCCCTGCAGAATGCTAAGGCACTGCAAGGTCTCTTGCTGCCAAGTCCTTCAGACACGATCCGCTTGCTGACTCCATCTGGCAGTTCAAATGCCGCCATTGCCCATGACTCTCAACCACGGGGATCAAAACCCGCCTGTTGAGCACCAAAATAGCTGGCAAATGGACTTTCATCTCCGTCCGTTGCTACATTCGTATTCTTTGGATTTCTTTGGTACGATTGGTACGCCGTCATCAGAATCCCATACAGAATCTGGGCATAGCCGCCTGCAAACAGGTGCGCTAGTCAGAGCCAGAAATCTGGACCATTCTGTGAATCAGGAGCCAAATCTACGGCCCATGCGGCCCATGATGAATCTTCCCCGGTGTGCCGCAGCGGCTGAGATCTGGACCCTGGAACCGCCTCAGCAGTCGCAGGCCTCGAACATCAAGTTGAGCCAGCAACTAGTTGATATATGTTGATATATACTATTTACTATTTATATCAATATCTGATAATATCTGTATCTTTGTGGTGAAGCCTCCCCCGTCACAGGCTGTCACACAATCTTCTTGACGTTCTCGGCAGCACATATTTGCAACACCCAACCACGTCCGGAATGCAGTGGGTGCGAATATGTGCTAATCTGTGCAGTGCCCTTCATCACAACTTTTTGGCTCTCAGAACTATCAGCTCCAGTCTGTCCAAACCGAAGGGGGTATTTACATATCACATGCGATTAGTGTTTTTTTGTTGGCTGCATCTGCATCTTCACCCCTTCACAGTGCCGTGCGTGTCCCTGGTTTTATGCGTCTGGTTGCGCACAACCGGAACAGTGCCATAGGGCACGCGCCGCCGGCGTAAGGGGCTGGGCACAAGAACTGAGGTGAGTGTCCTGAGAGACTTCTTTATCTCTCTCCATACGATTTGTATGAATGTCCATCAGCCATTCTGGGTTTGTCATGTCGTGAGCTGGTCGAAATCTTGAATTCAAACAACTGAAATCATCAGATAGAGGTTGGCACACTGATCACGGCTCAATTCTTGTACCCCTCTTTGCTTTCACGAATCTCCTCCATGCGCATAGCCAACCCTCCCTGTTGGCTGCGCTCCGACAAGGTGTGCGAGAACCTGGTTGGCATCCAGGCAAGTTTCCAGGGAAAATGGGCATGAACAAAAAGCCTGGGCATGGGTCAAAAATAGACTTGAATACCCCAACTTGGATGATTGATGCAGTTCCGGAATTTGAACCAAGCATCCAAGCCCATGAAATTCAATTTTTCCCTATTTCACAGCAAATCGGGGCTTACATCTACGTAGAATAAGTACGGGTTCACACTCACCAGTCATCCCAGTTGTAATCCCAACTATGGGGGGATAGCCTCATCACTATCACTTGGCCATCTTAGAGCCGAGCCGCTCCCGGTCCGGCGGCAGGTTGCCACTGGTTTGTCTTCGCAAGCCTGCGCTGGAGGGAGCCGAGAAGGTTCCATCGCACTCAGAAGCGCGCTTCATGATCTTGTCCAACAAGCCACGGCGATCCTGGAGCTGGAGCATGGTTCCGCCCATATGCCCCCGGCAAATCCCATCTGTGCCATGAAAATGCTAGGGCCCCTTGGGCCTTCCACATGCAAATCAAATCGACAGCTGGCAATGGGCTGGCAACGCCCATAATATCTTTGTTCCCTACTATACTATACCCGCATTCAGTTCATAATTCATAATGACAATTTTCCAGTCCAAGAACCCCTGTTGACCCCAAGGAAAAGATAGATCAATTTTCGTAACACGCTCCTCTGGTCCCAGGCGTTCACCGTACAAGGGCGTTTCGTATTGGCCATGGGCGGTGATGGGTTCAATCTTCACCTCACCCAGCAGTTCAGGGCACGCCCGCTTTCCCAGGGCGATGTCGTTGCAGGCGGTCCTCAGGTGCACGAGGAGATCTTTGGAAACAATACGCAAACACAGCAAGTCATGGCAAACACGTCCATCAACCCTGACTGGGCAGGGCAGCTTTGGGTGCTGATTTTTTTCCGAAACCTCTGGGCTACAGTGCTATTTGAAGGCAACTCGCATCTGGTAGCAACATGACTATCAGCCAAGTCACAACCACCATGATCACTACAACGAAAACAGCAACCACCATCACCACCACCACCACAGCAGCAACAACAACAACAACCACCACCACCACGACGCCGACGCCAACGCCAACGCCAACAGCAACCCAGCAACCAGCAACCAGCAATGAGCAATGCGTAATGCGCAACGGGCAACAGGCAACGGGCAATGGGCAACGGGCAATAACAAGAGCAAGAGCAAGAGCAACAATAATAAGACGAACAACTAAAGACCCCCCCAGTGATGGTGCCACATTTGGAACGCTGAGGGGCACCAAGTCATAGGCAATGCTGTCAGAAACCACAGAGTCCATCCTGAGGCACAGTAAGGCGTGTGCAGTCCACCGTGGATTTGGAAAGTTGAGCAAAGTCTGTGGTGAAAATCGTCTTGAAAAACCATGGAGTTGGGCCTGGGTGCCACCTGTTCCCCACCCGCTTGGTAGTTCTTTGGCACCCCACCCAAATGTTGTGTGACAGAGTCGGCTTGCCGATAGTCATACTTAGAATTGGTCATGCCTGGCATGCACCAAGACATACTAATACTTAATCATCCATGATTTTGGGCAGTTTCTATCAGTTACTACTAATTAATGATGCTGCCCCTTCCCACATCGCATCATGCTGAGTCACTGGTAGTCCCTGTGCGAGTGCACGAAGTTCCGCATCCAGGTGGCGGGCGTGAGTTGATGCCCCGTGGCTCGAGCCTTGATTAACTTCAGATATTCATCGATTCTTCGGAAGGAGGTCTCATCGCAGCCAATGTGCTCCAGGTATGCATAACCTCGATGGTCCCCAGATGGCCCCAGCGGCCCAGGGCTCAGGGATCATATGGATAAATAGAAATAAAAATAGGGGTAATCTCACAACAGGAACCAAGCTGTTGGCATTTCATGGTTCACGACAAAATGAGCCACTTCAAGTGCACATGCAGCATGTAGATGTACAAGCGCGATGGTCTTATCAAATGAAGATCAGGCATGCGATGCAAATGCACAGTTGCACGCGGCAAAATTGTGAACCTAAAATCATGCAAACGTGAACTCCAAGGGTTCTTGTCGTTGATGCATCTTCAAGAAGAAAGTATGGAGTATGGAGGATTGGAATGGCCCCTCGTGGAATCCTTTACAGCCGAGAGCAAACATTTCAGGCAATCCCCGTACCAAAAGTACCAAAAGAGCTCCAGGAACAGAGTGGAACCAAGCCCGGGAAGTAGCAACTCTTGCCGTTCATTATCTCATCCATCGTCATCTCTTCAAACTGACTGGCTTTGGCCTCGGCGTTCAGCGGCTGCTGCCCTGGGCACTGCTTGGCCATGAAGTCATCCGTGTCGTCCGGCAGGATGTGCTTGCGAAACCAGAACTTCTGCCGGCGAACGGCGTCCAACTCGTGCGCACGCTTCATGTTCCTTGAAGCCAAGCATCCACTGCATCCACTATCATGAAACACTTGGGGCAATGAATGTGAATGAATTATTCCCATGTACCATTCAGCTGCATAGTGATTTAGTGCTCGATCCGAGTTGTTTGCAATGTGCAGACGATGCATCCTGTGGCAAGCTTCCCAAATGGTACCACGGCTACCATGGATATCTTCGGGAATGAATGACCCACTGCTTGGATGCAAGGGGGTCTTGTCATTCCAATTGATGACCCAAGCAATGGTCCAGTGTTGTAAGAATTGTTTGAACTTCGTCCTGGAAACTGTGTAAGTCAACCACGGGGCCACCATCTCAAGTCCAGAGGGAATTCAAAAAACTAAACTGTTAAACTCCATAAGACGATATAGTGTTGGCCACATTCCCATGTAGAATTAGTTTGAGTGGGGGTGAAACTGATAGTAACTATTCAAAACCCTCTTTTGGACAATTTAAAATCCACGTGTTTTCATTTGTTGCACTATTGTGGATTTCAACCTCACCTCTGCCGCAACATCTCAGTCCAAGGCTCTCATCTACCTTCGACAGCGGTGCTAGAAGCGTGAGATTGAAAACTAGGATCGCTCGGGTGACCTAGGCCGGCTAGCGAAGGTCATGGCATGCCATGGAAAAACCTGCAAAGATCTCCAGAAACATGATCATGGTGGTTTTAAACCTTTGAACATAATGGATCATAATGGGAAATTGAATCGCTACGAAATGGAACTTTGAAGAATCACTACAACGATGGCTGATAAAAATCATCACTTACACTGGAATTTTGAAGGGACTCTGATCAACCAGGTTGACCAGGTCGCGGCGATGAACAAGCTTCCAGTTTGGCCACTGACCACGTAACATACTGCATTGGCCCAAAGATGTGTATGGGCTGGGAGGAAGACTGCGGGAAGACTCCACCATGGACCGGAATGCGCGGAAGCTAAGCAATCAGACACGGCAATGAAGACACACAATTTGCAAAGGTTTTCGGACTCTAGACTGAGAGATTTTAATAGATTTTACACCATGCTGGACCACCAGAGGGTGATAAAACCAGCAGAGACCCTGATACAGAACTGTTGCAACACAAGGTATGCCAAACGAGGTGGCCCCGCATCCTTCAGAAGCCAGGAACAATCACGATGAACGCTGTGAAGGCCGCGTTCTCGAAGTCAGTCATCTGAACTTCCATGGACCGGAACCTGGGCTCAGCTGACACAGCTTGACCACTGGGTACCACTGGGTACCATAGAATGGTAGAGACCTCAAAAAGGATCAAGCTGAGAGGCTCAGTTCTCCATCCCACATGCGGTGAACAGGCGTTGGCCTTCATGGGAGGTGGCTTCCACCGTACCGTCTGCCAGTTGGTGGACTGGATGCTCTCGAAATGCTCGGTGGTGGCCGAGTCATCCACCTCCACCAAACCCTCAAAGATCACCTGTGGAACACCACGATGAACGCAAGAAAGGGATGTCTGTGTGAATTTGGGTTGTGTCTAGATGTGCATACCCCGCGACGTGCCTATATGCATATATAATATACATATACATTATACTAGTATACATATATATATAACTAGAGAGAGAGAGAGATAGAGAGAGAGAGAGAGTCTGTGTGTACTTCCATGTCCCTCAAGCATGGCATGCTTGAACTTGGGCTGTGAAACGGCAAAGTGCAGCCCCAAGAGTCGGAGAAATCCTTGGTGATATTCAGATTTGGTAGCTTTGACTTGAATTGACCTCCATCTCCCAGTTCTTGGTTTAAATTATCTTTCCCTTTTTTGGAGCATCCCCATTTGGAGCTGAGTAACCAGAGGATCTCGGGTGAAAAGGTGCGCCATGTGCCGCGCCAAGGTGTCATCAATGCCTTCTTTCTGCAAAAGCGCCAAGAGATCGTCATCGATTTCGCAGGGGATGTCGCTGTAGCTGTTGGAACCGGGATGGATGTAACCTGGCTGACGGGGATGATAGTTGAATGATTTTTTTGGATATCTAGTTGATTCCTGTCGTCCGCATCCCACAAGGAAACAGACGTTCATTGCCGTCGCATCTGCTCGCAGCTTCTGGGATGTTCAGGCTTGAAAAGATGCAAAAATCATGAACAGTCAAAGGCCCAAATTCTTGTTCATCGCCTTTCATCGCCCAGAAACAGCTGATGGAGTCGTATCTGCTTTTGGTCTGTCTCCTGACGCCTCCTCCGGCCATTCGGCTGTCAGGAGCTGCGGAAGGAGCCTCCCCTCGTTCAGCTGGGGTCCTATCATCCACCGATTGGGAAATCAGACTCCAACGCACATCAGTGGCCGCCAGGCGGCCCTTGACGATGGGTGTGGCTGCGGTCAAGGCCATCATGATGGGAGCTAGGACAGCCAACCTGTTGCCGTGCCATTAGTCGCTAGTCCTAATGCCCCAAGAAAAATACATGCGTGAAAGTACAATTTATTGGTTCCCCATGGTTCCCCATATTTTTGCCATAACTTGACCATGGTTGAAAGTAAAATACCTAAAAATCACCAAGGGACTGGTCGTACAACAGCCTGGACTCTTCAATGTCACTGGCTTGGAAGGTCACTTGTAAGCAACAGCATCCCATGCCAAAGGCCATACAGTCCATGTGGATTTGTGGGTCCTCACCAGGCCACTTGCAGCACCCCCGACCGTCACAGAAGTGCTCAAGGATCATTCACACTGTACACATGGGCTTGTATGTGACTATATTATGTATTATTTTTCTTGTTGTTATTATTATTATTATCATTATTATTATTAATTGTTATTATAGCACACTTATTCATATATTCTATGATATATCTAGCACACATACACACACATAAAGTCACAGGTTGTCGTTCGAAATCTTGTTCCATCCCCTCCCCGTCCTTTGAACTTTTGAACTCTGGTGTCTTTACATCCTCATAGAGGGGAACACGAATGTCCACCTTCCCACCCCGGCGGCGTCGAATGTTGCCAGTGAGCGTGGCGAATCTGGGGTGCGGATTGATGCCTCAGTGGCCAGTAGATGGCCATATAGAATGAAGATCGGGAGAACACAGACAAAACGAATGGACTGGAAGTGCAGCAAAACCATCTCTGGGTGAGACTCAACATTGCTTAAAGCCTATGTTTGATCCAAACAGGACCCGCCCAGTACCACTTTCCGGAAAAAACTAAAGAAAACTCCACACATTCCGCATAAGCATGCAAAGCATGCATTTTTTACATGCATATAAGCTACATGTATCTGGCACGAAGTCAGACTCTGAAGCCTCACCTCCTGGTGGTGCAGAGGGCGAGACGAAATCGCCTACGCCCATGAGTGGAAACGACACCAAGGTGGGCGCTACTTCATCTGCCAGCAGCGCCGACAGCAGGCGGCCCCTGCGCAAACGCATGTTCTGCTCCACACCTCAGATGTGTTTGGTCCTGTTTGGTATGAACATCATGACATCTATGAAATGATGGGAAGGTGTGAGAAAATTTGGGAACTTAACGGCTGGCTGGTAACACGATACGTTCCGGCAAGATGCCATCAAATCGTCTCAGATCTGGAATTAACTCGACCCCTATCATCCCCTATCCCATCTTATTATGCTAGTTGGTTGATAGGTTTTCCTAATGTTTTCCTACTATGGGTTATCATGATCCCCAATAAAGTCGCCAGTATACGCTCCAATTTTAATCAACCAGGGTATGTCGAATGGCTCACCTTGATTTCACCAAGTCACTGGCCAGGCTCATGGTATAACCACCATAGGGCAGATCCGGTGTCCCTTCCAACATCCAGCTGCCATACTCCTGGTGCCAGGTGCAGCCCCGGAAGGCATGGATCACCTGCTCCGATTGCCTCAGGGATTCCATGACCTCTGGACCCCTTAGGCTGAGCTTCACCGTCTTCTGCCGCTCATCCAGCTTCAGCAAGGAATACTCGATCTCATCCTGGCAGGACGCTAAAGGATGCTGAAGGATCGGGGATGGAGCTGAGAGTTTGGAGATTTCGGACCTTTTTGGGCACCAAGAGTCTGATGAAATCCTGAAACTCACGGCTTTCTTAGAACACTCCTTGGCCGCACAAAACAACAAAGAAAAATTCTCAGTGGCACAGCCCAGCATCCCCATAGAAAAGGCGATCGTTTTCCAAGTGCCTCAACCTTCTGTAAGTGGCGATGAACTGGTGGATACCATGCAGCCGGACATAGTTGCAGTGTTCCAAGGAATCCTCCCAGTGCAGGGGAGTTCCAATTTTCAGAAGCCCCATGGCGCCCTCGCTCTCGGCTGGACAAAAGATGCCGCGGATGCAAGGCTCCGGAATCAGCCATCTAACTGACCATTTTGGTGCGTTCAGTGGCGCCCTGGGCAAATACAGGTACGGGTCGAAGGTTATACAATCAGCTTGTATCAATAAGTAGGGCATTGGCTCGGGGTTATCCCCGGGACTCCGGGACCGCTTGAGGAATGCCGCTATCTAAACTTTGGGATACATCTCCCAAAAGAAGCACAGCCAAAAACAGGATTTCAGTGAGCCCCAAGCCTTCTTCCAAAAGGCTTGAAAGGATTGCCTGCACGGGGACACTGTATGTCGGATGCGGTTTCCATCAAAAACACAGCTGCAAAACAAGTCAGGTGGGCTGAACACATTGTTGGCCATTGCATGCATGCGATCAAAGCACAAACAACGGCCACCAAGATTCCATCCTTGTCAGCTGGCAGCTTGATGTGGGCCCGTCCGAACACTTGAGTCACTTGAGCAGCATATGGCTTCAGCGCGTCCTTGCTTGCAAGAGAATTTCCTGAGGAGCAAGCGCACGACTCATGCCATGCATAGGGGGCATAACGGGCAACAAGTCTGCAAGCAGCTGCAAGTGTAATTACATGTTCCATCATGTTCCTTAGGTTCCTCAGGTCTTGTTCTCCAGCCCACCTCCGAAGAGTGAAAAGGCCAGTTCAACATCCATAAACCCACAGGCTGGCAGCGACTGGCAACCAAAACATGTCTGCCAGACCAGTTCAATGGTACCCTTCCCTGCAACGAGCAGTGGTAAGGAACGGCCTCTTTGTTCTCTGTCACCAATAGCAGGATGCAGAATGGATTCACCGGCTCATAACTCACAAATTCCGACGTCCTCAAGAACCAAATGAACAATCATTCCCCTCACACTCATGATTCACATGATGTTCTAGTATTCTAGTATTTCAATGTATTTCATATATAGCTATGTCCAACTATGTCCAAACATCCACTTGTTTCTCATCCTTTTCCCTTGAAAGGACTTAAAAATTGGACCGTCAACGGTTGCACCCGTTGCACCTTTCCCTTTGCTGCGATCGGGTGCCGGAGCAGGCGCCACTCCTCCAACGAGCTGCCCGGAGATCTTCACATGTTATGACTGGGAAAGAGGTGGAAAAAGGACATGGGACCATGGGATAGATGTTAGTCTAGTTTAGTATTAACCATCCAATTATTGGGGTACCTAATTTTGACCCATACCCATATGGATAGATGGGAATCAACAAATATGGAATCAACAGACTGAGTGACTGGCTTTTTCATCGACCTTCCCAGTGATTCTGATTTGACTCATGGGGGCACCAATATGGAACTGCTATGGGTAACTTTTTGCATGAAACCACGTTTGACCTGCTCCACACCATCATATTCCCGTCACCCCGCTTCATCTGGGTTTGTATGAGCATCAAGGATCGCATGAAAACTTCCCGTTACAGAGACAGAGAGGGAGGGAGACAGGGAGGGAGAGAGAGAGGGAGAGAGAGAGACTACAAAAATTCGATATCCATACATTCCGTCGATTTCCGTTCTGCAAACCGGGGTGTCCCCCCATTTTTGGAGAAACCCATCTGATCCAGGATCCGCTCCTCGTTGAAAGACCGGTGCCAGTTGCGGCTGCGCTGCCAGCTGTGCGGCCAGCGGCGCCTGCGGCTCTGCCTGCGATTTGGGCCTCAAACATGGCGACCCCGGGGCAGCAATGGAAAATCATGGGAGGGCCAACAATTAATTGCGTTTTTTTTTTTAATCCCAATATGGAAAGTATTATCCAACAATTTGGAATATCATGGGGTTATAATTGTTGGATTATATATATATATTGAGGATAATGGGATACTTGAATTGTTGGATCATATTTTCCATATTGGAATGTCATATGTCCCATGGGGATACTGGGGATGAGATCACCCTGGATCACCATGACTATGGGGATAACCTATGGGATAACCAACAATTCTTTTGGGATTTAATGCCTATCCTATGGTGATAATGATTTATGTTAATATACAGTAGCTACATTTCATTGGTGATAATTGGGGATGAAAGTCCAATCCATTGTTGCTCATAAGTTGTGGATGATTTATTTTAAAAAACTACTGTATTTATGCCCGTGCTTTGTCATTGAAACATATTAAAACTCCACTCAATCCCATGGTTGAATATCATGCGGATAGACGATAGGAAATTCATGGCCATATACAGCCAATATGATCCAATATGTTTTTTTTGGTCATCTTAGCACTTGTCAATGGACCAAAGGGATCTCTTGTAGCACTTGGAACCTTGCCCATGTCTGGGGGGTGATGGTCCCAGTTCTAGTATCATGATGAATCACATTGAATCACCATCGATTCATCGATGGATGAATACGGCTGAGCAAGGGCTGTATCAAAAAATTGGCCAACTAGCAGCTAGCAGCGGGAGTTCCGCACCATAGCCAAATGGAAAAGCATTTCACAGTATGAGCCAGTTGCACCTTGCTGGGAAAGTGATGGAAAACTCTATCCATGAACCAGCCTAGCCTGGGCTGAAGTCCCAAGTGTCCGCCGACAACACCGCCCTCCTGACGTGCGTTTTTGGGGTGGTCTTTGGGCACCTTGCATTTCATAAAAACAGTTGGCATATTCCTCCACATGTTCAGCAGCTCAATAAGAAGAAACAAATATGTGCAATATAATGTATATATATAACTCTATATATATATATGTGTGTGTGTGTTAAGATATGTCTTACATCTTAAACTCTAAACCCAGGGAGGATGTTGATGGATGTTGTCGGCAACCCGTGGTTTTTTCCCTGTGGTGCCTTCGGGTGGTAGCCGCGTGCAACAGTGGCAATGACGTAGTTCGACCTGTCGATAAGTCGCTGGCCACCTTTGATGGCCAGGAAGCTTTCCCTTCAAATTAGATGGAAACTGGAAACTGGAGAAAAACTGAAACCAGCCAGATTTGTGCATCGCAAAGAATGGCATTGATTTGATCACAGCCCGAGGGCCAGTTGCATCGTGGTCAGTGGCGCTTTTTCAAACCACCTGCCAGCTTTCCTGGGCATCCCAACAGGTCTCGAATGACCCCCTTCACCTTCTTTTCGGCCACCTGCGCTCGCCCGGGTTCCCACACGTCACCCCGAAGCTTCCCAACACGTCACAACAACGAAACAAAGCCAATCTTGACACACCTCCAAACAGGCAGGTGTTCCGACAAAGATAATTTTGCCCATGGCTGCATCTTGCAGTATGCCCCCAGTGACCAACCGTACAGTCTTTCTCCAGAGTCCCAGGTCATCAGATCAACACGGACCTCAAAACGGGTAACAAACACTTGGACTGTAAATGGCCAACCAGCCATCTGAACCAAGATTTATGATGGGCAACATCCATTCCATCATGATGGTAACATCCATTCATGAAGGTGATAATAAGGAAAACCACCATGAAATTGCACATCTGACCCTCCAACATCTCCAAAGTGCGGTCAGGCTGGTGGCCATTTACAAGCCCAGGCTGCTATAACAAGAGTCGCAACGGCACCGCACGGCAGCTTCGGCCACAAAGATTTCAACAGGCGTTGAAAGCATCCCCAAAGAAGTACTGAAAATGGGAGTTTTCATCATGGGCCATAGAGTCATAATGATCCCCGACAAACCAGGTATAACATGGTATAATGTATATATGTGTGTGTGTATATATATATATATGGATTTTGGTCATTGCTCACTTGATGTATCTTCATGCGTCACATCTCTGGAAGCTAAATCCCATCCACATCCTCTCTCAGAACTGCGTAGCGTTCTTCCACCTCTCCTTCCACGGGAATCTCGCAAGCACTCGCCTTTCTACCCATGTTGATGCACATCAACAGCACAGGGCCCAGGGTTAGTAGTGACAAGCCGCTGGCTTTCATCAGCAGCAGGGTTGGAAGATGTGGGAGGCTTTCCACTTTTCCCACAAAGGCGGTACCACGTCCATCAAAGCAGCAGCCGAAGGGCTCGTGAAGCTGAGGCAGTAATTTTCCACAGCTATCTTTCAGGTATTCCCACACGAGACCCTGCAGGGTTGGAGTCTGAAAACTCAGAAGTAGGCTCAAAACCAAGTCGAAAAATGCAGTGATTTCACCATCCTCATGATATGTCATGATAATTTATATGTGTTTCCCATAACTTTCAACCAGTTTTTATTGTGGGTCACTGGAAACCGAGCAACCGCAACCTGCCAGTAGGTGAAGTGAAGGGTCGCCTCCCCAGTCATCTCGGAGTCATGGCTGCTGGCATGGAGCTGCACTGAGCAGGGCACATCGGTCCAGGAGGGGCCTGTGACTGGAAAGCTCCAACCGAATTTCCAGCCGGGACTGTAAGCCTCCGTGGATGGGATGGCTGGGATGGCTGGGATGGCTGGGATGGCTGGGATGGCTGGGATGGCTGGGGAATCTTGGGAGTCACTCATCTCTTCCTCCATTTCTTACAAAAAAAAACGTGTTCGGAAAAAATGCATTTCTTTTGTCAATTGTGATGTTCTTTCAGTTGCTCTTGAGGTAGCCATTGTAGAAAAGAGAGAGAGAGAGAGGGAGATATATTATATATATGCCCTTTAAACTTCAACTGAGTATCATCTGGACTCCTTGAGATGTTTTCGGGTTGGCGGGGGTGATGCTGCGGTTTCCTTTCTTTCGGTGTCCTGTCTTGGCAAACGACGTCAAGGATACACGGAATTTCTTGCCTTACCCACACGCTCCCAAGCGTGAGTTGTGAACATACAAAGATACAAGGATACGAGGGTTGACCCTTCCGACATCCTTCGACAATGTTTTATATAGAGGTTTGCAGAAGAATACCCACTGGCAATTACTGGCTTCTAAACATCAGGTTTCGTCTGCGCGCCCCTTTCAAATCAGCAAAAGTCATCAGAGTTGAATTGAAGGAAAATCGATTGCCCATGAATCCTCATGTTTGATCATGTTGCTTGTTTAGTGCTCCCACCCACTCGATCTGAATACTGCCGTGTGCTCCTTCATAAGATCTATCAAGGGTAGGTGGGTACTGACCCTTGGCACCATAGAACAAAACCCTCCATCCAAAACACCCGGCTAGTAGCAAATTTACCCCTACTTAACTTATATTTATACGTATATATATACTATATATAATTATATATATATATATATCTGTATTTATACCGTCTATACCCCGTGATTTGAGATCCGCCTTTGGATTCTTCAGCTCGCAGGAGCCATCTTCCAATCGACCCCAGAGTTGAGTCGCTGCAACGTAGCGGTACCAGAAAAAGATGTTTAATGCCAAAAGCAATACCCCGAGGCAGCTGATGATGCCCAGACCCAACTTGGAGAACTTTCCCATGGCCGGTTTTTGACAAGGTAGTGGATGTGTTCAACAATTTGGACAATTGGGCCCTGTTGGGTGTCGCACACTGTGTCTGAGAATTGGATCACTCCATGTGGGATTGTGTTGTGTAAGTCTGCTCATCATGACTGTCATAATTGCCATCAGCTTACACATTATTTCAAACGTTGAAAGAACTGTTTGAGGCCTTGTCGGCCTTGTCAAGCCCTGTGGCCTTGTTCATTTTGGGCCCCGGACTGGATGTGCCATGCCAATGGCTAGGAATCAAAGACAACTCCCTTCCTATCCTTCTCACAAGAACCAAGGAACACCCAAAGTTTGATGCATCACATGATGAACAAGTTGCAAAGTTGCAACACGTCCTGGCCACGCCAGGGCCCCTTTAATCTCCATCCAGCTGCGCCGGCGCACCTGTTCCAACAACTGCGACGCGTGCTGCGTTGGAAGCTTCAGAAGTGCCTGCCATTGTTCGCCGCTGGGATTTGTATGATTTGTGATCCTCCAAACACCAAGACAAGGAACGGAAGGAAGGGATCTAAGTCCGAGGACCCTTGACATACCTCAATGTCAGAACATGTGGAAATCCCTGAAACCACACAAGTCCCGGCTGCGCACCACGAACTTCAAGCGACAGTGCCCCACTACAAGCCCAAAAAAAAATGTGAAAACGTTTCAATCAGCATCAACGTGTTTTTCCAGATTGCATTTTACCCTGACGGAGCCTGGATCGCATCATCTGTGAGGTTCACTCCAGCCTGGCCAATTCTTGCCAAGATAAAGGCATCGTGGAGCATCCGCACCCAAGTCACGGAATCTCAAGGCAGCAAGTTTTGCCGGCGGCAACTGCCGAGCACCGTCCTTTGTCTTCCCAGGGTTGCAATATCCTAAAGCATCACAAGGCACAGTAAACACCCAGCACCTCTTCAGCCCGCACCATTCCGATGGTGGAACTTAATCTGGCCACAGCCATGTTCATATCCTCAGCGTGCCACTTCCATACGATGCCATGGGTCATGCGGTCATGTGGGCGGCCATTGAGGCACTGACGACGCCTCCGGAGGAACTGGGGGGTCGTGGTGTCACTTGCAGGGCTGCGGCTGGGACCTCCATGTCGATCTTGAAGCTTGAAAATTTCACACAAGATCCTGGATATGCAGCCTCTGCATTTCCACATGGTCTTCAGCCCAAAAAAAATGCACCATCTTTTGCATAAAATAGTCCCATGGCCTGGTGCACCGCGGGTTCTGTCTGTTGCGCTTGGCAAAAGGCTTGAGCACCACCATCAGCCTCAGGCCCAGGCCCAACATGCCCAACCCATGGGACTTTTCCATTCTGTTTCCGTCAAACCACGTGGATCCAAAAAATAATGGTTGGATATGGTGGTTCAACATTGATAGGACATGATAGGACACATTCATGAGGCAGTCTCTTCAACACTTTGTCCGCAGTCAAAGTTGAAACCACCTGCTTCAAACGAAAACAAGACTCTCTACCTTGGCCACGCATGGAAAAGATGGCGATTAACGATCCAATATATTTGCGGGTGACCAAACCGGACTATACCCATGCCACGGTGAGAAATGTTTGGAAACAGGTTGCTACATGCCTCCATTGTTGCAAAACATCAGTTCCATGTTGGATCCCACTTTCTCCTTGATCCGCACAGGAGGCAAAAAAATATCAAAAAATGTTACATGATGCCATCATGATGCTACAGATTTTCATGACCCAAGTTGGGCAAGGTCTTAAATCACTAATTCCACAGTTTCTCGGAACGAAGCCTCCGGCACGTAGCCTCGCACCACAGTAGCGCAAACCTGATTTGTCCACCCGTTTCAATTAATGAAAAAAGGCGAGCACTGAAACCAAACCGATGCCGCAATGCTGGTGATGAGTCGGAAAATCTGAAGAAATCATTGTCTCAGCAAACGAAAACATGAAGGAATTAACGAGTGCGGCACATAGCTCGAAGGATTCTTGATGTGCCCTGATTCGACCTTGTTCTTCACGCTACTGGCCAACCTTGGTTCCAATATGTTCCAATGTAGTCCATCGAAAAGGACATTAGGAACATCACAATGCTCTAATTCCTTACACCTTACACAGGTTCCCGCCATTTCCCGCAATCCAAGCCAGCAGGCAGTGGTTGCTTCAAAGTCGCCGCTCAAACGAAAAATTCGCCAAACCAAACAATCACATCCAAGCAACTCCAACGCATGCTCAAGACTCAATGTTCTCCTGGGCACGGTTCCAGCAAAGACATTCCACGCACACAACTGCCTGTGGTGACTCCCATGTGATAATTGAGCCCTTTGCATGGCAGCAATTGCGTTTGAATCCAACCGCAAACCTCAGCACACCATGACAGTCATAGAATCTGGTCCAAAATCTTGCGAGCTGAGTCCGATGCCAATCTGCTGCAGCCCTTCCTGCCAAGCAACAGCAACCAAATCGATCCAAATCATCAAGTTTCACTTCGACTCAGTGCTCCACTATGTTTAAATTTACACTGCGATTGCAAACAGACTGGTGTAATTTGTTCAAACACCGTTCTCCAATCGGACAGCGTATGATGGATAATGAACACAGTTGAAAGAGTAAAGACCGACCCACGACACACATGACCGCTGGAGGAAAAGAAAACTCCGCCTTCGCGTAGTGCCAACAATTTTGTACACACCACGAAACGATAGCAAAAATTATATAAAGAGTCCATCAGGTGAGTTGGCATATATATATATATACGGAAAAGGACGCTGTCAGGTCCCCATTTTTCCACGTTTCTGGGAATGCAGTGTTTCTGCTACATCATGTTCGATCATTTATGTTCATATACCTGTGATGGTATTGCTAGAGATCCACACAGATTGTCAGACTTCCTCAGGGGTTGCCAAAGGTCGCCAAAGAACGCCCAGAGAGTCATGAAGATTCCCAGGGAAAAGGAAGGAGGAAAAACAAACATAGTGTGATGGTTTCCCTTAGGGGGAGAGGTGGCCAAGGATTTTTTTTTTTCGAGTTTCTTCCCTCTCCTAGCCCTCCTATGTACATAGCCTCTCCCTGATGGCAGGTTGCCAAAGGTTGCCAAAGAATGTCCAGAGAGTCATGAAGATCCCCAGGGAAAAGGAAGGAGGAAAAACAAACATAGTGTGTGTATACCTTAGGGGAGAGGTGGCCAAGGAAAGGGAACCATATTTTTTTTAATGAGTTTCCCCCGTCTCCTAGCCCTCCTATATATAGCCCTCCTATATACATTGATGGACTTGCATTTTCCTTGTAGTAGTACTACTGTATGCATCTATGATATGGATGCTACATAAGTAGCGCATAGTAATACGTACGCACATTTTCCACAGGTACTTTGCATATGTATATAATGGAATTCTTCCACGATTGACTGCAATAAAGACCCTTTGGTTGCAACTGACTTTGCTCGTAAGAGTTGGCACATGGTAAGGGCAGCTCCAACTTACCCTTTCTCCAAAAATATGTTTCTCCTGCATATTTCACAATAATTTGCTATGCCACTGCATATCTAATCCAGGTACCCTGTTACCATAATTGCTTGGCTGTGTTTTTATGATCTTTTATGACAGGATGAGTAACACCTAAAAAGATGTAAGATTGTTTATAAAACTTGACAGAAAACAGCTATGACACAACACATTGGACTAGGAAGTAGCAGCTCCCAGAATGCATTCATATGGAAAGGGGTCCCTTCTCCATCCTTTTGATCAATGCTCACTCTTGTTCTTAATTCTTTGATCTATAAACTGTATGAAAAGTTTCAGGGGTTGTTTGTGCTTTAGTGGGTGAATGGTTTCAACCAGTATGCAAGCGCATTGTCACAAGTGTGCAGTATCAGTATATATACAGTAGAAATGGCAGCTTCGAACATGCACTGATATCTAGAAGGTATTTTGTGATAAAAACAATATGTTTTTGCAGATACCATAGCCATTTGCTGCGTCAACACATCCAAGCTGCATTTGCACTTAGAATGCAACTATTTTATATATATTTTTTCTTCTATAGTACATACAGTTATGGAATGGGTGGCATATAAGTCACCTATGCCCTTACAGACACAAGTTTTCTACATTTTGCCAGCATATGCAATGGCATTCTTCCAGGTTTCAATGCAGTA